ACTTTAATTACACGATGTTCTATTCTTGACAACTAGGAAGGCGGAGTAGTTTAAAACTATCACCTCTTTGTTAAAAGCCGAGCGCGCCTCCCGTGTTTTTACTGAAAGACTAAAGTAGAACGACAACCCTCAAATATCACTGATTTTTTTAGTCCAGCAACTTAACATAGCGTTATTCTCAATTCCTAAATTTTGTTTTACGTTACTAGTAAAACTAGATAGTTTGAAAACTATCACCTCTTTGTTAAAAGCCGAGCGCGCCGCCAGTGTGTTCACTGGAAGACTAAAGTAGAACGACAACCCTCAAACATCACTGATTTTTTTTAGTCCAGCAATTTAACTTAGCGTTATTCTAATTCCTTAGAAGTTTTTTGGAAAAATCCAGTCTTTTTCTTCTTTTCTTTTACGTTACTAGTAAAACTAGATAGTTTTAAAACTATCAACCCTTTGTTGAAAGCCGAGCGCGACGCCAGTGTTCCCGTTACAAGACTAACTTCATCGTAATTCAACTTAGAACATTAACCTTAAATATCATTTTTCAATCCAACCACTTAACCTAAGCGTTTTTTAATTCCTAAGTGGTATTTTCCCAAACAGAAGATTTTCTTCTCTTTTCTTTACGTTACAAGAGTGAAAGCGTGATAGTATCAAGGCTAGTGCCTCTTTGGTAAGAGCCACGCTAGTAACCCGGCAATGCTTTCATTGTTTTAAAACGACCACATTGATCCCTTTTTCCAATCTAACGGCTTAATCGGGCGATTTTTGCAGTCCCAAGTGCAAGTTTTCATACATGAAGCGTTTTCTTTCTTTCTTTTTCTACGAGTAAGGCAAATTAGTTTTAAAATTCACAACTCTTGACCAAGGGAAACCGTCGATAAAAGCTACATGGTTTTGCGGTGTTTTGCTGCGCGCTATTATCAACTGATCCAAAGTAAAGTATAATTATAAAGAATTCAGCATTTCCAGGTTTCTTGTTTGGGGTTAATATTAGTGATGAATAAGACTTATTACATTCTTCCAAAAGGGCTATTCGGTTTGCAACTCGAAGGAAAAAAACGCTAAAGACTTGTTACACTACGAAATATATACACTTCTGTCCACATCAAATACCTTTAAAAGCTGTTCAAAAAAGATTCAGTTTTGTTTTGTTATTATAACCATTCACGAAATATACTCGGCAAGAGGACGTGAGGGAAAAAAGCACACCAAACATCCTTATCGCGTTAATAAATTTATAATCAACTGGTTCGTTGATTAAAAAGATATGTACCGCTTAAACACCAAGGATAGTGAAGGGCATTTTCCCCCTTGGGTACCCCTGTGTGAACAGCACTCTCATGAGCGACGTTCCCAACCTCTCTCCACTGGTGCTGCTAATTCGACACGCCGATAATTTTGCGACGATTTGAAATTCATCTTCGCCGAGTCTCGGCACAATTAACCCAGCACAACAAACAACAAAAGGCTTTTATTTAAACTTGTGAAGTCGAATTTAACCCACAAAATATGTACATTATGCAAAACAGCTTCTTTCTTAAATTGGTCAATATCAAACGCTAAATTAATCCCCGAATGTTCTATTCATAACTTTGCAGATTGTTTCCTCGATAATTTGCAACGGGCGATCCTTCTTCGATGTAAAGACCTTTAATTTTACTACACCGTAAAATACTGACTTGTGTTAAGACCTAATAAAATGCTCTTGGCCTATATAGATTAGGTTCTTTTCTAACCAATTAGCGTTTTGCATTTCTCTCCCGCTTCCCGCCCGTTCCTCTCCCGCCTCCCGTGCCCTACCCGCCCCCTATTTTCGTGAGCTCCTCCCCCCCACTATTCACCGGCATGTAATAAGAAAAACTTATTACATCTGTTTCTCCCAAGAAGTCAAGAATGCTGACTTATCTTATTTGTACAGGTGTGCACCCTTTAGTTTTATATAAAATAAGAACCTGTTTCAAATGTTGGGCAATCGAGGTTCTTGTGCAGAGGGGTTCAGTAAACGTGTTATTTTATGTACTTCTTGGTATAGTTAGCACCACATAACAAATTACTCAATCTTTATAGCAGATTCTGCTCAGCAATATCTTGCAAAAGACGCTGAAAACATCCATCTGGCTGAGTATCACCGTACCATCTTCACATAAATTCATGAAGGTATTCTATGAGAAAGTTAGGGCTTGTGTTACCGTTCATTTTTTTTAACTTTTCTTTTGCTGTTGACCAATTGATTTTTTTCTTTTTCTCCGGAGCGGAACGGTCATTACAGAGAGGGGCTTCATTTTTAAACAACCAGCATATGCTTGGAAAAACGAGACAAACAGAGATAGGTGGAGAACATTATTATAACCATAGCCATTCAAACTGGAAAAGGTTGTACTATGGTTACGTTTTATTGTAATTAGTTTCGTCAAGTAGGGCCGCCGGCAATAGTGCATGCGTGACTTATTCTGGAGGGCTCAAAAAAGTAATTATGTTTTAGTTCTTTTATCATTTATTCGATCACGAAAAAATAGTTTTTCGGTCTTCATTAATGTTATCAGGTTTTAGAACATAGCTAGCAGAACCGCGCAATCAAATTCAATATTTGTAAGCGTGCTCAAAATCCCGATAGTGCACGCTGACAGCGTCAGCAAATCGCTTCGCCAGAAATTTTTTTTTCGCGCGAGCGGCCGATTGTTAGCGCGGGAAAAATAATATATTTCGCGACAATAATGGATACAAACAGAAACTCGGCCTACTAGTCCGAAAACGAAGACAATGTTTCGACCTTTTCCCTTGGGCTAGAGTTCTTAAATGAGGCAGAAAAAGAGAAAAACAAAGGAAAAGGAGACTCGGCATCAGCGCCGTCACGATTCGCTTCAACTGATATTGTTGTCCATTTTTCCCGTCGGATTTGATGCACAATTCTACCGGCTATGTTCTAAAACAATTGGTTCATGCTTTCAGCTGTGCACTATCGAGTTATGGAGCACGTGGGAAGTTTGGAGAGCACTCAAGAAGCTAGAGTTGCCCTCGGCTATCGCCTCGGGCAACTCTTACGCTTCTTTCGTGCACTCTAAAGCATGAACCAATTGTTAATTTTCGGTTTTCATCGAGTTCAGTCGCTCTTGCTGTTACTTCTTGGGTTTTTAGGTTTTGTAATTTCCTGTTTTGTAACTTTTTTGTTTTTAAAATATGTGCGTCGTATACTAAATGCGCTATTAACAGATTATTTGTTGGGATTTAAGGAAAAGAAAACCGAAAAGAAAACCTTTGAATGTGTGCCAAGAAAATGTTTAAGATAACTTAGTTGTGAGAAATTTTGGTTTGTTGTTGTTGTTTTATAGGCTTTGAATGTAGATGATTATGAAAATAGAATGCTATGCAGTAAGGCTGTTGCAACTTTTTCAAAATAGGAATGAGTAACCAAATATTACTCATTTTATTAAACAGGCACTTTTAAATTGTAAAAAAAAAAACATATTTAGATTATGCCGCAATAAAATTAATGATTGAATGTCGAGCACCAATGTGAATCAGTTATTATCGTAATCACCATTATCATCATTAATTTTACTTGCCAGAAAGTAGAAAGTCGAATGGGGGACGGGAGGAGAATGAGGAATATTTCCCAAGTCCAAGTATTTTGTTTTTGTTTTTGGCTAATTTTTAGGAAAAACAAACAAAAAGAAAAAAAACCTGGAGGAAAAATAAGTTGAAACAAGAATGTTACTTCACTACCCTCTTAGCGCGAAAGTAGTTCCAGGTTTCAATTCATTTTCCTCCTGAAAAAATGGTGCCTTTTTAAAAATCAAAGGAGAGATAGTCACTTAAGCTTTTGATGAAATGAATGCACTCAAAACCCATCTCCAAATTTGAGTTTTAGAATGTAATTTTCTTTTCGGATGACAACTTGCAGTAACCGGTATATATCTTGTAAATCGTCTATTGGGGAGGACGGTAAGAAAATTAACAAATGGTTTTTAAAACAATTGTAAACAGAAGCAGAAGTTGTGCAGCACCTAAAATTTTTGGTGCACCTACAATTCGTGTCTAAGCCTCTCGAACACGGAGTAACCGTTATGTCCCTTCTTTATCGCGCAGAGCCTCCTACCATTTCCCCCTCCAAAGAAATGTTAGCGCGCTCTCTCTTCTCTCTCCCCAGCCTCCTTGTGATGCAATTAGGCCGCTGTGGAGGAGACTGTCTACAGCCATTTCCAGAAAGAATGTCGCACAAGAGCATAAAAACGACAATACCTATGCAATGGGTATTTAATTTTGAGGGCGAAGGGCAGGTCGTAAGACGCGAATGAATGTAAATGACAACTCGAAGATATAGCCTACCGCTAATGAAGCAATTGTAAGAACATATCACGCAACACCCCAAAGAGAGGGTTATGTAACTCATGCTGAATAAGTAAGACATAAACACTCTATTGCCTTTATTGTTCACCACTAAATTTTCTTCCGCGCGCCATATCAATCAAATATTTATTCATGCGTACAACCGCGCCTACAGCTAGTCACAAATGTCAATAATTCGCAACCGTACATTGGCTAAATAATACGTTATACCTGTCAGAATTGAAAAGTCAGCGTTTTTCCGATTTGCCTAACTTCGCGGCCGTCAAACTATTCAAAACTTTTCACGGATGAGTGCTATCGATCCAGATATTTTCCGCAGACAGGCGCTATCCACCCGGGTATTTTCCGCGGGCGGGCACTATGGGCTGATGGTGTCTCTCCACAGATGATCACTATCGCATCACGTGATCGATTTAAACCAATAAGAACCGGAGAAAATTTAAGGGTGAACTATAATTCCTGATATATATTCATATAAACGACAATTACAGCAACAGATATATGATGAAAGATATTTTATTTATTCAGCTTCTATCACTATCATTATAGCGTTAAAGGTTCTTTAAGGTTTCATCAATACTTAAAGGTGACTGTTTATTGGATAAGAACGCCTTTAGTCACAATCAGCATTTATTTTGCTCTCTCGTTATTTTTTCGTTGAACCATGACTGCCAATCAGACATCAATGTCTTGATCATGCGCCATTTGCTGGAAGAAGGAAAAACAAGGGGCAGGAAGTAAATTACGAATTCCAGAGAGAGAGTAACATATATAAGGCAAACTAAACCACTGCATTAAGTGATTTCAGAGAAAAATATTGTGAGTGCAGTAACAATTAACCATGATACAAAATTTGGACATGGAGTACGCTGTCAGGATAATTATTTACGTACGTCATTTGTCATTGCCCGGGAAGGCAACAGCACTGCATTCCTGAGCCAATGGGACATGGATTCCACCATTGGCATTCCACAGGAAAAGGGGGCAGGCAAGGTTGGTCTACTGGGTAACATTTTCCTATGTCAGGCCTACGGCAGTCGGCTGAAAGTAAAATAGCAAAACNTCCGTGGACGGGCACTATGGGCTGATAGTGTCTCTCCACGGATGAACACTAGCGCGTCACGTGATCAATTTAAACCAATAAGAATCGGAGAAAATTTAGTGATGAAGTGTAAAGGTCTGATAGTTGCCTCCTTGGAAATTTGATGTTCTCAAAACCAGCATATTTGGCCTCGAAGCTTTGCTTCTCGGGCAAATACTTGTTTTAAGAACATCAAATTTGCGCGGGGCAAGTATGAGCCGAAAGTTCCTAGACAGAAACACTCTATTGTTGAAATAGATTTGGCCAAGCCTAAAAATGGAGCTCGCATTATTTTTCCCGCACGCCTCAAGGGCACAACGCCTTGCCTTATATACTGGGGAAATGTATTTGCTGTAACTACTGTGTGTGTGTGTGTGTATTCTTCTATCTTTATGGGTGTGTGTGTGTGTGTGTGTGTGTGTGTGTGTCTAGTTCTCTTTTTTAGTTATTTTAGTTATTTTTTTTTAATTCCTATTTCATATGTAAAAGTAAGAAAATGCTTTAAATAAACTTATCAAAGAAAAGAAAAAAAGCAATCGGAGCTGAAACTGGTCAAAAAGGAGGATGGTGAAGTGGAAACCACATGAACAAAGTTGCTCGGTAGGTTTTAAGTGGATAACTCTGAGTGCTACGATTTGTTTCGCATTGGATTTGATTTTTAATAAAATGAAATGAATGAGAACTTTCCTTAACAACTCACTGGAAAATAAAAAGGAAAATGAAATCATTGTTGGATCCAGGATTGTGAACATTGACATTTTTATGAAAGGAAAATAGAGAAATGCAAGTTTTTGCCTTCGAAATAAACATAATATTCAAGGGAACAGAGATCAAGAAAGTGTAGGTGAGATTTAATTCACAGACGGCAAAATCAGAAGAAAATATTTATCTCAAACTTGTGAGAAAGATTGTTGATACTTCCCTAAAAAAAACTGTATATTACAACTAAGAAAATGAAACTTACATTTTTTAAGAAAGAATATACTGCTAATGAAGCAATTGTAAAAACATGACAAGCAACGCCCCGAAACAAGGGTTACGTAACCCATGAGAAATATATTACTTCGCTGTAAGGCCTTGGAATTCGCTGAAGGAGGCGACACGCGCAAAGAGAAATTTAAATTAGATTCCAAATGCAGTTACAAAATTTACATCCAAAGTATGAGGTAGTCGTATTATTTATCAGAAATAATTTGGATATATCAACAAAGTTGAAATGGTAACTTGGCCACCGTAACGATTACAAGCGTTTGCCCTTCGTCGGAGCGAATAGAGGAATTGTGGTTGTGTGTGCTTTTAAAGGCAGAAAATGGAGCTACGTTATTGGCGGGAACATGGCAACTAGAAAAACACGAATAAATTAGTGGAATGAAACTGCGTTCGTTGATACCTATGGGATTTAGACTGCCGGTTGGAAAGATGAGCTTTTGCTCAAGAGTTTTACAGCTTTCCGTGCTACCTAAGTGTAAGGAAAGACCGCAGATTGCCATATGTTGCTTACAATGATTAGGTAAATTAAAGTGTCTAGCGACTGGTTTCGATGTGTCCTTGTTCTTTATAAGAAATTTACATCTTTTATCGTGGCATAGCTCCCTCCCTAGAGTGATTAGTATTGGTCAAGTGTCGGTCAAGTATCGGTGCTGTACCGATCAAGTATCGGTCAATCGGTCATGTATCGGGCGAGTATCGGTTGAGTATCGATGGTGTAAGAATATATCGGTCGACACGGTTAGCGACCGCCTATCGGTTGCCAGTCGGCCGACTATCGGTCGCCAGTCGGCCGACTATCGGTCGTCAGTCGGTCGACTACCGGCCGACTATCGACCGACCATCAGTCGATATATCGGCCGGGGCGGCCGTTAGTAGACATAATCCCACTAATGGGGTGCCAAATGTATTTTTATTAGTTAGAGTGGTTATTTGTATATAACCACTTTGCGTTGTAACCAAACTGCAATGTGGTTATTTACATAATAACCATAATTGTTTAGGTTAGATAGAAATAATCAATTAACCACTCTGAAAAATAAAAATACATTTGGCGCCCCATATTACACAGTCTGGGTTATTGTTCATGTACTTTGTGTAATCCGAGTTCGACTTAGTAATTTCCTATAATGAATTTCAGTAATCGTGTGATTTTGGACAAATTAATCGCATATTTGATGTATTCGGCGTGTTATCCATGTAACATAAACATCAACCGAACGGAGGTTACGCTGTGAATTAACATCTACTTAAAGGATGTAAGATACCACAATCGATTTTTGTTATCTTTTTAATAGTTTAAAAAGAGCTTTGCCGACCTGAGCTGAGCTAAACGTTGGCTGCAGCTAGTTCAATTTCTCTGTCAAGCCCGGGCATAAGAGTTTCTTCACGGTGTGTTTTATTGTAAAACATTTGCAAAACGCAGTACATAATCATGGACATACCGAGATTCTTGCACGATAATCCTGAAAGTTCTGAGATGTTCCAATCCTTCTTCAGAAGAGAGGTTGCAATGCGCCAAAGGTTCTTGCCGCTGAATTAATTCCTTTCCCAACTTCGAGATTACACGAACTATCAATAGTGAGTTGCTCAAGTATCAAACTACTTGGTGCTTTTCATTGGCCATTCATCAACATGTTTATCTAACTCAGGTGAGAGGAGGACCTTAACAATGGACGAAAGACCAACTCATGGGTTTTACAGAAGTCCTGCTTTTGAGGCATTCATAAAAAAAGGGAATGGGAATTTTTGTTGTGTCACAATCAAAGCTATCTGATCCCCCCTCTCACCCCTGAGGTCTAATCCAACTCTTAATTTAAGAATTGCGAGCTTGCAATGTTGATGCCCCCTAGTAAGACGCCTGTATTGCAGATTTTGAGATTCTTGCAAGAGAATCTTATCAGAGGGGAGGTTCATCCTTGAAGTTTTAATTACGGTTGCTCTGCTTGGATCTCCAAATCTTGACCCTAATATTATTGATATTCAGGGCGGAAAAAGAGTTCTTTCTTGTTTTTCTTCTGAAAGTTGCTTTCTTCTTCTTCTTCGTCTTCTCTGTTATTGACGTTATCACAATGAAGCATCATTTATTTCTCCATGCATGGTATTTCTTCCTTGAAATGCTGTCAAATAAGCCTTAACTATAACTCTGTAGGAGAGTTTTTATCCTCCCTAGTTCATTTTTTTCTTAACGCAACCTTCCATAAAGTGCGGCTTTAGGCTCAACAGGCATTCGTATGCAATTCATGTTGTGAAAAATGAATTCTGCTCATTTCAGGTTTCAGTTCTACATCTGCTATGTTCCCTTTCCACTATTATACTTGTGAATTTCGCCGTTTTTGCCGACGTTGTATCCTTGTTAGCTTTCTGTCATCGTTCCTGTTCGATAAAGCAGCGATGAGAGAACGTTGTCATTCACTTTGACCTTAGAACTTGACGACACCAGAGTTTTTATTTTTGAGATGCGCTGATGGTTTTTCTATAGGATTAATTCCTCTCCCAACTTCGAGATTAGATGAACTGAAAATAGCGACAGGATCAGTGTTCCCTACTGATCAATATGTCAAGTGAATGAAAGACCCTGGTAATAGACGTTAGACCCCGTGGGTTTAATAGAAATCCTGATTTTCAGGCATTCATTTTAAATCTAACCAAAGTTGCAGCAGTTGACAAATGATCTACAATTCTAAAAATGATCAACATCAGTATCAACCAGGGCGGAGTCGCTGGTAAACAGAAGTGTTTTTTTTTCTTTTTGTTTTTGTATCCAGCATAGAACAAGCTCTTTTGTAGAACCCTTCAGTTTCAGTGAATACATACAGTGCGTATACTACAAGAGTGACTGACTAATCCTTAATAACTTTTCACATTGAATATCTCGTCTGAGTGTTGTCAGAATTGTGTCCATTCGTTCTTGTGTTATCCGTACCCGTTTACAGTTTGAACATTTTTTAAGAAACTAACCCTTTGAGGCGGCACATAACCTGTAGCATACATTTATCAGTAACCCCTGCCAGCCTAAAGATGATACGAATCGAATAGAAAACGGTCGTTTGGGAATCAGGACAGTATTTTGAAAATGGGGATATCCCGCTGGATGGGGTCGCATTTTTGACGACTGTATTGACTATCATGAGGTTGCGTTTTCAATGGAGTTACCGGATTTCGGGATTTAAGGGGTAAGAACAAATGATAAGTAGGAATTGAAAAATGGGAAGAAATACGGTGAAAAAATTGTTACCGAAAGTTCAAAAAGTTGGAATCGCAGAATAACATTTGCATTAAAGAATAAGAGGTCAAAAATTGAAACAAGTAACCCCCCGAAATTCTTACTTTCATCTAAACCGAAAAATATACCTTGTGTGTAGTTTTAAAAACTAATTTAAAAGAGAATACAATATTTTTTACAACACCTAAATCTGCCTCATAGAACTAACAAGGTAAACAGGAAACAGAGCATTTCCAATTTAGCTGTTAAATAGTACTTTTAAGACCATAAAAATATTATCTTGTATTAGAATTAAGCAAGCATTTTACCACCTTATTTGTACGTCAATAGCTCATGTAGAATATTGAAAATTTTGTCTTTCTGAGGACAAACTTAAAGATATTTATTAACTACGTTATAAATATGTAATTCAATATTCTTGGCATCCTACCGATGCGTTGTATGGACTTGTATCTATGCTTCCAGAAAAGGCTTATTTAAAACCTATTTTCTGAAATAAACTTTACATGAACAAAAGATCAGTAAAGTTTAATAATTGTTGTCTAACAACACCGAGTCAGTCATCAATTGATGGCGACGTTTCGTGTACCACACTGAGAGTCGTTTAGAAAACACTGTTTGATCGACAACTGATGGAGAATCTATAATGTGGGATTAATCACCGAACAAACAAACAGAATAACGCGTTAAATAATAAATTCTACCCTTTATAACAATGAAATTATTACATAACATACGATAATTAACAGGAGGAGCCTGGCCGAGCTCTACTGTACCTCTGACTTGATGGAAAGGGAAAGTATCAGGCCTTCTCTGACTTCCCAATCAGTACCGGTTATCGCTTCAGACAAACACTGTTTGCCCACATCTGTTATCTTCAAATTTCCATGGAGGTTTAAGCTCCTTAGTTTGCAGTTGGTATCAGTTAAGGCTTTGCACAAGAACTTTGTTCCTTCATCTCCTATTCTATTGAAACTAATGTCTAAGCTCGTTAATGCACAGTTCTTGTTAGTTAAAGCTCTAGCTAAGGGCATTATTCCTTCATCCCCTAACACATTCCAACTGGCCTTTAAGCTGGTTAAAGTGCAGTTAGCGCTGATCAGTGCATCACACAAGAGTTTTATTCCTTCATTTCCGAAGAAATTCTGACTGACGTTCAAACTGTTTAACTTGCAGTTATTACTGGTGAGCACGTCACACAAGTGCATTATTCCTTCCTCTCCTAACCCATTGCGAGTGACGCTCAAGCTGATTAAATCGCAGTTCCCACTGATCAGCGCTTCACACAGGTGTTTTAATCCTTGACTTTGTAAGTTATTGGCACACAGGGCCAAGCTGTAAAGTTCACTCTGAGTAAGAGCTGTACTTAAGTTCTTTAAACCTTCATCAGATATCCGACTCCCAGAAAGGATTAATCTGGTTACTTTCCAGTCCCAGTTGGTGATCGCTTTACACAATGTTACCAAATCAGGGTCGTACTCTGTTGGCCACGCCTTCAATATGCCTGACGTCGAACTGTATAACGATGAACCCACCGTCTCCTTGCCCTTGTGCCTGTCCCACATTTCATCGAACCAGTCCCGTGGCAGTTTATCTGAAGGAAGTTCATCCGTAAACAGCAGCACCACCTGCCAAGCACCTTCTCTGATGTGAATGGTAAGAAATGTTTTCAATTCGTGTTCATCCATTGCTTCTAGAAAGTCTTTCACGGCACTAGGCGATCGAAGTACTGAAAGGTTAAAGAAAAGAATAATCAATCTTTAACAAGAAAACATTACTGCGAAAAAAAAGTGCCTTCACATTTTTGTTATCTCAAAACTGACATAGAACCTCATAGCGAGTAGCTTTAACATCAGTATTCTGCACACTTATGGACTAAGTAGGAGGGTCATGTCCGTTCAGCTTGATCTCAATCTGTCAATCAAACTTTTTTCCACGATCGCCGCACTTCTCTTTTTTCTTTCTTTCTCGCGGGGCCGCCCCTTGGCCGTGCAGCTTTTAAAGTCCCTATTCACCCTCAGAGGTTTAATTATATTTCGATTCTTTGCGTTATCGGGATTAATCTCCAAAAAAAGATTTTTGATTGATTAAATATTTCCCGAGATATGCCGCCTCAAAGTTAGTCCTTTGGCCACGCCCTTCTGATTTGGCTGGGCTAAGTTAATACTGGTAACTAAAAGCCCTCATGACGTCACAGCAAGAACGTCTTTCGATCGAGGTCCCTACATTCACTTAAATATGCCTCAAGACAAATCTGGTGTATTTGGGCAACCAGCGACAACGCAACGAGTCGGCATTTTCACATTATTTTACAGCAATAGACACATGTTCTTATACAAGAAGTTAACATTCGTTCCTGCGGTGACGTCACTCGGCCCAGTAATTCTCTCCCGGCCAAGTCAAAAGGGCGTGGCCAAAAGAGTAACTTTGAAGCGGCATATCTCGGGAAATATTTAATCAATCGCAAATTTTTTTTTAAATTGATCCTGATAACCCAAAGAATCGAAATATATATAAACCTCTGAGGGTGAATAGGAACTTTAATGCCCCTGCTCGCGCAATCGCACACGGCTCTCAGAGAGGGATTTGTTTGTAAATAATTTTTTTCCTTCAAGAACGGGCATAAGACCGCGTAGGTTATTTGATGATTGTATAAATATACCAGGTCTTCAGAGAAACAACAAACCCAACACAAGATCACAAATCTTGACTATTACAAACTCAGCATTTCTCTGCAATCTTACGACAGAATATAGGTAACTGGAAATATGTTTGCAAACCAATACAAACTGTCAGTTATTTTACATACCTCGCCTGCGTAAGCCAAGTTTGGCTGACCCATTTGATAAGTAGCTGACATAGCTCTGGAGTTCCTTGGGTAAACTGACATCAAACTTCTCCAGTCCTGATCTAATGGTCGGATACATTGTAACTATGACAAAGGACACACAAAAGCACAAGCTATTTCAGTACTTTAAGTAACATTCTCAGTTCAGAGAAATTATTGAAAAAATAAGGAACTACTCTCAATGATAACACAAGCGTCAATTTTGCCATTAACTGTGATAGAACACCGAAAAACATAAGGTTAAACTTACATTTGACATACAAAGATACCATCAACATTTTATGTTGTCGATCATTTCTGACGCAGATCATTATTTGCAAAAGTTATTTAATGCATGAGCTACATGAGAGTCTCACTGAAGTGCTTGCTATTACGGCTAACAGTTAAAAGTTTGGCCATTCAACGGCTTACGGTTAAAATTTTGGCCATTTTACGGCTAACAGTTTAAATTTTGGCCATTTTACGGCTGTTGAATAATTTCTTTCTGTTAAGAAGTTTGAAAGAAAAATTTATATCGTACACCCTTTTACAATTGACGGTTGAAATTTGTCACTACAGTTCTGCACACTTCACGCGCGTGCAAATCCCATGCACCACACGCGCACACCACGCAAACTGCGCGTAACATGTCACAGTAACTGAAATTTTGCATAAGCAGCAAAAGTTGAAAGTCTATAGGACCAGGATAAGTTTATCCCTAGGAGCCAGTTATTTTTAATAAGCACTAAGAATAAATTCACTTTTCTCTGCTCTTTTTTCTTTTGTTTTACTGTATTTGCAATGGGAGGTTGTCTCCTCACTACATGGGGGCTGATGGCTGGGAGGCCAGGATTTGCTAAGAACAGAACAGTACCCATGTAAGTGCTGGGTGCCAAAAGAGGAACGTGACTATGTCTTAGGCCACCAATGAGCATCGCCGATGTTAATAATTACTGCAGTAGAAGGAGAGATGATTCGATAAGTAACTAGAAATGTTTAATAGCAGTCTGCTATTTAAAAAATTGTTGACAAAGTCATCAATGTGGTCAAAATGTTGCGGACTCACGAGGAGCAGCCGAGTGAGTCCACAACAAATTTTGACCACTGTGATGATGAATATCGTTGCCGATAAGGGTACACCACTGTCAATCTGTAACTTACCACAATATCGACGTCAAATAAAACGATACTTTCTGTGCGTGGCACATTGTCTGTACTCTTATCGACAACGGCAAATTGGCAGATTGCAACATTACTGCCAATTGTGGTAAAAAAAAACCTTCCTGACAATAGTTCTTGTCCAATGAGTGCGCGAGAATTTCTACAGTTTTTGTAAAAAATAATTTTCTCTCTAAAAATGTGCATTATCTGTTCACCTTCCATCTTTTTTTTCTTCAGTTTCTCGAGTAGTTGTATTAGGTTTATTTCAAAGGTGTTATCAGGGAGAGATGAACTGCCTGAGAGAAGAAGTAAACAGCAAAATGGTTTACAACATTGAACACCATTATTGGTTGATAGAATCATAGCATTATAACTTATATATGGAATAGACACATATTATTCGATGTTTTACTATGTAGTGGGCGCAGATGTTTTGCAAGTAGCATGCAGGGATTGGAAATATAAGAGCAATGAGTAAAAGTGGTCGCATTTAATGTTAACCTGCCTTGTAGTTCATGAAATTCATCCTATGGATTATGCAAGGTGTCCAGTAGAGACAATAACAACACACAAAAAACATTTAAGAGTCCTTAAAACAAACAAAAAGAAAGAGTTTCACCTAAAAGTTTGTTGCTTCAAAAATCAAGCCTACATTGTAAAGGATGTAAACTGGAACAAACAATTCCTTGCTTCACTTTCTCTTCTTAAATTGACCTGTTCAACAAAACCACTATGGGCGTTTTACTCACCCTCGCATCTTTGTCTATTTAGTTTGGCAAGTAGTTCCTCTAGTTCTTCTTCAAGATTAGCAGTAAAGAGTTCAGGGGGAGGCAGAGTACCTGATGGGAAAGGTAACCAGAAATAATTATACTGTATTAATCATTCAGTGCCTTAAATATATTACCTTATATAAATGATTAAAAACAGATAACTAGCATTGTACATTGTATTATGGTTGTCAGATTAATCTCCTTTGGTCATTCTTGAAATCAACCATTAAGAAAAAAACTTTCATCATAATGAACCACAGCCAACTTTACACTGCCTTCCACTACAGTACACAATGAGGAAAAACTAAATCAAGAATAATTTCCAATAAAAATTGGCACTTTACAACACAATGGCTGAAAGAATTAGATGGCAATCACACTGAATATATCTAAATGTAGAGTTCTGAGGGATTATCTTTACTAGGGAATAATTTCCCTTGAAAAGTGATATTTGACACAGGATTAGTGAAAGCATTTTATTAAAAGAATTCTTAGATTTATTTATCTCTGATAAGGAATCGATAAACACTTTCTAATCACCTTCCATTCTGAGTCTCCTGAGTTTCGTGCATAGTTCTGCTAGTTTTTCCTCAAGATGACTGGTTGAAGAATCAAGGGCAGGTACAGTACCTGAGAGCAAAGGTATACACAGATTACTCGATGCCATTACTGTTGTCAAAAATTAACTATCTATAAGCATTGTATCATTATCACATGCTACAGCCAATTTAATACTGCCTTTAACTGAAGTCATGGACTGAGAGGCAAAACTGAATTGAGAATATTTTCCTTAACAAAATTAAGTTATTGAATAATAGCTGAGAGCATTAAACAGCATTCTTGGATGAAAATAAGGACCGCTGGGGTTATAATCTCACGTATAGAATAATTTCTCTCAAAAGTAATAACTGCAAAAATTGAAAAAAACACTTATTACATTATTTTGTAAGTGTTGAGCCCTATGCAAGGCCAAAATATTTTAACATTAAAACCAAACGTCTTTTTGCACTGGATTAGCATCACTCCGATGATGACCTAGTGTCAAAACATTTAGTTCTTACTTTTAAATATTTTAGCCTGGTAAATAGCCCATTTTTAAACCTAACCAAATTTTATGGACATTCATTAGCATTGTTGGATCAGATTCTCCCTGAAAATGACAAGATGTGATTTTTTCTATTCACCTTCCTTTCTCAGCCTCATAAGTTTCACACATACTTCTTCCAGCTTTTCTTCAAGATCAGTGGTGGAGAGAGGAGAGGAAGGTAAAGAACCTGACAGCAAAGGTATACAGAGCTATTCAAAATTCAGTGTCTTACTTTACACAGATAAGATAACAACAAGCATACACTGTAGCTGTACCAACAGGAAATAGTATATTCATGTTGAAGTCAAATAGTGTCACTTTTCCATTTTAACACCAATGATCATTGTGGAAAACAATTATTCCATTTATATACATGTATTGTTACTACATACCAACTCAATACTCCCAATACAAAGGGCTTGCACTGTAAGTATCCCGAAGAGCTCCAAACAATTCCTTATAATTTTATTATAAGGAATTGTATGGAGCTTTTTCAGCGTTAGTCGAGGCGCGGCGGGTGTTGTCACCTATGATCCTTACGAGGTGTTTTTCCCGACGTTCTTCTGACGGAAGAATGTCACATAATGAAAGCAAACCAGAAACGATTGAGGAACAACTCCGGCTTGCACATGTCATCGAGCTCATTAAAACGAGCATTGAATTTCCTGTACATCAACAGCTC